AATACCAGTTAAATACCAGTTATAAGTACGAAAACAAGATATAACTAATACATTGCCATAACTGTAACATTAGTGGAATCAATAACAATTGTTCGGGATCGCATCACCTCCAAGACATTGGTTTGTTTTCCTTAAGCCCTGAGCTCATCATCAACCAACATGGGGTGTCGAACGCGGAACACGGCGCATCACTTGGGAATGGGAATGGCTTCAGATCAGCACTTGAGGATGTCTCAGTAAGTGGATAATAACTGCGTTATTCAGTGGTACGCGGCGGCACGCGGTGACAATATATTGTTTTTTTTTCCCGGATGTTCAGGCTTTCAATTGGATATGCAGAATATCTAAATATAATCATATCGTTATGGGTGAAAACCCTCGTACCCTACACCAAAATATCTGATTAATGAATCGTCATTCCCCCAAGTATTGTAATAGATTTAACCACCCTGGGCCCCATATAGATTATAATTACACATAATTACAATAAGGAGGATCATGGGATACCCATATAATAATACCATATAGATATGCTAATATCAAGGATAGGATTTGGCAGGATCATGGTATATCACGACCAGTTGACTGTCAGCTTGGCATAGCTTGGCTACCCGAATTGTGGTTGAAAATCAAACATGGCAATTTGCATGAAAATCCCCAGCAAAAATGGAAACAACACAGGAAAATCGGTGGAACATATGGATAAATCATAGGAAATTCTACGGAACATCTACAGCAGGGAATATCTGAATATCATGGAACAGCTACATGAAGTTTTTCAGCTTTGGGTGGGAAAATCATCGAACTGCAGCTGGTGGATTTTCCATCAAACCATGATGACCAGAGGGTATATCAACATCTGATCCATCCTATAAAAGTGCTTCATCTTTGGACGTGCCCGGCCGGGCCCAGCCGGTCAAAAGTCTATCTCATGCACAGCCCGTGCAATTAGTTGCAAAGTTCCCCCCAGCTATCTCAGCATGTCTATGTTCACCCATCCAAGTCTTTGCTGTCCTTTATATAACTAGTATAGCAGAGTTTTGACCGTACCTCAATATAATGATATATACATATATGACCATAGATCATCATAGATTCTACTTTTCACAGATCTTGGGAAGGCCAAGTTGTAGCCAATAGACCAAAAGCCCCTTCACAAGTTCACATGTGAAGTATTCTACACCGCTTCACAATTAAGTCCACCAAGCCTATGGTCCAAATAAGGAAATCAGCCTTTCATAAAATATGCTGCTTTCCTTATTGCAGTAATTATTTCGTCTATCTGCTGAAACGTGCCCACACAATCACCAGGTCCTGAAGGTGCAGTTTGTTTAACATCTCGTTTCAAAAATGCAGCCCAAGTGAACCCGCAAAGGGAGTCCAGAAACATTCCAACACCTGAATAAAAGAGCTGTTTGAAACCCACAGATCAAGTTCTACAATTTTGTGGACTTTGTTTGGCCTTCCTCGCCCAGCCCGGTGTTGAAGCAGCCAGGCGGCCAAGGAAGCAGCCAAAAATCCTGAACCTGGGACCGTTGAGTCAAGCCCAAGTGAACTTGAAAATAAGTCCAACGGGGAATCATGTACAGTAGTAACCCCCCCCCAAAAAAAAAGATAGAAAAAAGTGAAATCCTTCTAAGTTTTAGTGACGAATGACATGTGTAGAAGTTTTTGTTGGGATTCCATGTGATAGGGGAATGATTAGGAATCCAAACACCAAGATAGACTTGGCTCATTTGAAATTATTTGAGAAGTATCTGATGTGTTAAGGGATTCGTAACCACTTCAACAACATTTTCATGAAAGACGTGGCTCATCTTCACCACCGAATCCGTTGAATCCGTTGAATGATTAGAGATGTCACAACGGTTTTTGGTGAATTATTGGTGCTTGAATCTCCAAAGAGTGACCTCAGTGACCATGGTTTATTTTGTTCCGGGAACATCATATGACAAGGATGAACCTTTCAACCATCCATGAGTTGGGGGACAGTTATGGCCCGAGTTGTAACAGTTATAAAGTACTAACAAGTCACCTCATTTATAGAATGTTTCTCATCCTATAGAAATAACCAGTTATAACTAATCGATGGCCAGCTGCCATGCCATAACTGTGTTGTTCCACTCATTAAAAACCTCACTTTCTTCAAGGCTCCAGCTGGAACCTCCAGTAGACACCCTTGAACTGTGTTGAGCTGTGTTGGAGGAATAATTACATAAGTCATGTTTAATTATCAAGGTTTGTTTGATACACTGATATCTAAAAAGAATATATATATATATCCATGTTATATAATAGAGTATCAATCTACATGTCTATATATGAAATTATATATATATATATATCATATCCATTCATATCTCCGACCATATTCCATATATCCCACTATCCACATCCAGATTTCTCCACGCCGCACCTGAGAGGACACAGTGCAATCCCACGGCGAACAGGACTTTCCTGGAGATCGATCCATGGAATCCATGGCCACCTCTTCGAGAAGCTATGATGAGCGGCGTGTTTTTTGCACCCCAAATAATCTTGAATACAACATTTATGATTGTCCATTAAATGGATCCTAATGGGACATAATCTTATATAACTGTATGGTGTCTTGGGATATAATCTTATATAACTATGGACATCAGCATTTTTTGTCCCATGAAAAATCACCATGAAGAAATACATCTATGATCAATGCTTTACCCTTCCAAATTATAGTAACATTATACCCCAAAAACACTTCCTTTCAGAAGGTACGGCTGGACCCATAGGGTGTAGATATGTAATAATCTCCGACAAGATATAAAAGTCAATTGTCTCTATTTCGAGAGGGATTTACTGTTCAAGCTTTTTTGGGATGAATATTACTGTGTAATCTGTATACATATATACCACCTGAAGTCCGGAATCATTCCACAAAATTTAGTGGCGCCCATCGGCAGGTTGCATTCATCCATATTAATCTTATATGGTAACATATGGTAACTATGGCTACGCAGGATTTATGGTGGATATATATATATATATATATCTACAGTGGGATGGATTTATCCACCAAATTACAATAAATTATCAACCCCTGGGCCCCACTTCGTAGGGATCATGGCTGGTTGCTACCCTGCAAAGTTCCCAATTGACAGCTGGATCTTAAAGTAATTAAAGTAAGAATCCCTTAAGAATGGCAAAAAAAATAAACCATGAAACTATCATCAATAAAACATCTACCTTTTGCCAATTCGCCCACCTGATAGCTCCAAAAGGATACCTTTTGGAAGCGAAAATGCAAGCATCAAACAGCAAGGACGCTACCATCAAGCAACCCAATCATACCTGTTTGGCTATGGCTTGGAAGATCACATTGCTGGATACAGCTTGTTGCTAACTTGGGATACTTGGCTTATGACCAATTCCTAAATGGATCTCAAAGGTAAAACCCATTTGGAAGACTTACCATATTAACCACTTACCATCCGTGGGATGACACGCCAAGTTTATAGTGGACAGAATCATTCCAAGGTGTCACCATAAACTCGTGTCTTACATGTTCTGAGCTGGGAGGATACCTATGGGCCCTCCCCCTCCAAAAAAAATGTGAATTTGATCATCGACTTCCCACCTCTATGACCTAGCATGGACAAATGAATATGAACACACATGTGCTTTGAAACACCTTTTATTAAGCAACAAACCCAGCATAATAAACCCATTGGTGTGTCTTCAAAACCCTCTGCCATTCCATTTTACATACTGGTTGGTTAGTAGGGATTCCAAAATTCCCAGAGTGGATGATGATAATCCCCAATATATCCGGATAGTATCCCCCTACAATTATCAACCAACACAAGGCCGAATGCAGCCACTTCTCACTTGTGCACCCAAAATTTGATTCTTGAAATATTGTTGATCAATGTCAATCATCACTTTCCCTATCAAAAATAGCAGTGAAGTGGGTATATCATGGTATACCGGTATACCCATATAGTAAACCCCTTATTTAACGGGCACCGGCCACCGTCTTTCCCTGGATCTGCCGGGTCTCTTGGCGTAGGCGGCGTAGTCTTGGCGCTTCGCGACCAGGCGCTGCTCGGCGCTCTTGGCTGAAGGTAGAATGAGGCCGTCTACCAGCGTTTCATATCCTGTGACAACTACGGCCAGCGGTCCCAGGGGTGCAGGCCAGGGTTTTGTATAACATGGGTATAACTATTGGTATAGCTACCTCCATAAGTTGGGATATGCGGCCCCTTCAACTATGGCTTAGAGGATCATCACAGTAACTGGTTAGCAACTAGATTAGTTCACCCATTTCAATGTGGGATTAGCCACCAATCGAGGACCTACTGACGAGTTTTTTTCCACCACTTACGACAAGTGGAACGATGCTACTCTCCAGGACTCTCCGCTTGGCAGATGAATCATGAGTCTAGGAAATGATCATTCACAAACTTGACATACCGAAAAACATAACAAACACGGCAGCTGGAGGTTTGGGAAAAACCATCGAACTATGGTAACTATGGTAACGGTGGATTGTCCAGCCATGTCTCAAGCCATCTTTGGGGGATGAATTGGGATAAATCCCGGATCTGCGAAAAATGACATTTTTAGTGAGGTCCAAACGTGAGGCTTCTAAAAAAAAATGCCTCTTTAGATCGTCGAAGTCCAAGTGACTCTGTCATGGAGATGCAACAAATCATCACCAAATGCGAGTGTTCACACCATCTTGGGAATATCATCAACAACCAATCATATATATGTTCACTATAAAAGGAGGAGGAAGACATTAATCAAACATGGTTGGTTGGGAAAGGTTCCATTTCAGGCAAAAAAAACGTTCTTACTGAAAGTAGTCTGAAACCAATGACCTGATCTAGCATACCCCAAAGGTTCTATCCATTTTGTTTGAGGCTCATGCCTCCATTGTTCAAGGTGGGGACCCCCCCTCGGTTGTAACTTGGTAAATCCCATGGAAAACTATAGAGTTCGAGTATTAGTTATAGTCACTATATGTCACCATAGACCTTACTTAACATACAAACTGACTTAGCGTTCAGGATCTGTGGCATTTCTCCCAAGCATCCAGCGATCTTATCAGGGAAGATCGGCTGGCTCAGCAGAAAGACCAAATACAAAAGGCCTTGGCTGGCGCAGCGATCATAGCCACGGCTGTTATGGCTTCCCACAACTGAACAGGAACCATCAACTCGGAAACTTTCAGGACACATATATATATATATATACAACTATATAATAATAATAATAACAATAATAAATAATAGGATATATATATATAGAGATACACATACATATAGGCTGGCAAAACAGCAATATCAACCCATGCTAGCATTAAACAATGACTGAGTTGTTTTGGCAGGATAGCAGAAACAGTTAATTCTCTAGTTTGGCTTGATTCAAATCATCATATGAGTCAATTCTCCATGTATTTTCAACGGTCAAAACGGTCAAACTCAATCGTTTTTTGGTGCCTCAGAAAGTCATTGTCCCGCCCAACATCCATCCAAAAGGCTCCAAGGTAAGTAGATCCGCCTGAAGCCTAAAATCATCAGACTTCCTCAGCGGCGTTGAGGAGGCCAGTCGGCGTTGTCAATAGGGGCACCTGAACTTCCTGAACCAACAGATTTTATTGGTGATATGGCAATGAGTCAAAACCCTGGTACCCGGATGGTACATCTAACTACCCTAAGTCATAGCTGGATAATGAATGTTTATTCCCCCAGCCATATGCTAAGTTCATAGGTAACTTGACCCATCCCAGGTCAAAATGAGCAAACCCATCCACCTGAAACATCGCCGAGCGAGGTACCCACCGTAGGCATTTCTCCCAGGCCACCCCAGCGCCAGCGCACGGCATAGGAAATCCACATGGGTGACGCATGGAGGAAGAAACTTTCGAAGGCCTTCCCGGCAACGTCAACCCCCAAGGTGGGTTCCCCAGTAACTCAATGACCTGCAATTTTTGTTGGGAAACTTTGAATGTTACAAAACTATCGGGGTTACAAAATTACCGTATCATGTGCCCAAGGTTTTGTAGTTGCAATTCTGACTGAATAGACCAGTAAAATTATGAATAGTAGTTCCCGTTTTTTGGGGCTACATATAGTTTGGAAGCATTCCCATCTGAGGGAATAGAGCTAATAACATCAAATTGTGATGGTTCCGCTACCGGATTTTTTTGCAATTTGTGTGATGATCACCCTGAATTGCCGTCATGTCGTCATCCATTTATGCGTCAAAAATGGTGTGCAAATGGCCACAAAATGAACTGTTCTTGCGATTAGAATATCTATCTATCTATCTATCTATCTATATATATATATCCCCTCGCCGTGTCACCTCGGGATGGTGCAAGGTGAGGGGCGTCTGCAGTGGAAAGATGGCGCCGGCCACCGGGCCCTGGGCCACCAGGTAAACGGCCAGCAACCACTCCTGCGCGGCCGAAGGCCATGGGATGGCCATGGGATGGCCATGGGTGTGGGATGGAGAACACGGGGAATGGCCAAATAGCCTGCAAAAAATGAGAAATTCTGGCAGCTGGTGAGTTAGTAGATGATCCCATACCAAAAGACTAAAGGATTAAACTACCCATCCAAGATTGACCTATCCATGAGTTGTTTGGGAATTGTTTTTTGGAGTTAAGGAATGCTAAATGATGGGGATGTATAGTTATATCCAAAAGAAATTGGATGCATTTTAAGGTGAACAATTGGAAAGTTTGATGGTCAATGGTTCAGGGAGAACGGTGTCAGTAGCTAAACAATTCGGATTTGAGTGCAAAAAAATGGGTCGATAAGTCATGGGTAAGTTGGGTTTACCAACTAGGCAAACACATGGCTTTGTCGATGTTTGTAGTGTGTTCTTTGTAGATAACCCACAGACCACGGGGCCACCTGGTTGCTAGTTGCTGCTGCTGACCCATCCCAAAAGTATGTATCAGTTGCACAAAATCTTCGAACACACTGGCGTTGATGTAAACGAAAGCACTGCTCCTGTAATTCATATGTATGTATATATATATATATTTTAAAAAAATATCATATAATATGATATAACACAATATAATATAATACAATATAATATTATACAATATAATATAATAAAATACAATACAATAAAATATAATATAATACAATATAATATAATAAAATACAATATAATATATTACAACAAAATAAAATATAACATAATATAAGATAATTAAATTTAATTTAATAAAATACAATATATTATAATAAAACATAATATAATATAATATAATATTATATGATGTAATAAAACAAAATATAATATAATATAATTCAATATAATACACTATAATTTAATTTAATTTAATATAATACACTATAATATAATACAACATAATATAGTTTAATATAATATAATATAATATAATATAATACAATATCATATAATAAAATATAATAATACAATATCAAATAATATAATATCATTTAATATAATATAATATAATTAAATATAATACAATATAATATAATATAATACAATAAAATATAATACAATATCAAATAATAACATATATTATAATTTAATATAATATAATATAATATGATATAATAAATATAATATAATATAAAATAGTATAATATAATATAATATATACCACTTTCCTTAGCAGATTGAAATTTCATTGTCACTACATCAGTAATTATAAGTATAGCTGTAGAACCATCAGGATTCGGGCATTGCTCATCCTTTGAGGCCGGACATTTTTTTATCCAGGCCATTGTGACAACTTCGGTTGTGACTACATTTATGGTGATTTAATTGTGATTTATGGTGATTTCTAGGTGATTTAATAGTGATTTATGGTGATTTCTAGGTGATTTACTGGTTGGTGGTATACCTACCCCTCTCCCTCTGAAAAATATGAGTTCGTCAGTTGGGATGATGATATTCCCAACTGAATGGAAAAAAAACATGTTCCAAACCACCAGCCAGCTTTAAGATGTTTTAAGTTTTCTTTGATCCCTCTTTCTTTGGTGCATCCCCATGTTTGCTGCTGGTAACATCCCATTGGTTGAATCCAAATTTGATGCTTGGGCGTCCCTTTTTCAAGCTGTAAACGTTTACACGGATGTGGAGTTTACCCACCATTTTCAGTAGATCATAACTTCCGGCTGGACACCCACAGTTTGACACATTCTTTTGTAAGTTGACAGGGTTGTTTTGCCATGGGTTTTGCCACGTTTTGCCATGTTTTGCCAGGGAGAATCGACCGGTTCTTCCCTTTTTGGCGACCAATTGGATCCCGAGGCCCGAGGCTCTTGAGAGCATTCACCTTCAGAGCAGCACCAAAGGCTAACAATCCTCGGAAGTCTTCCGCAGCACCAAATCGTTGGTTGTTTTTTTTGTGGGAAAAAAACCTGATCAAACTGGGCTAGAAATCAAACTTCCTGGAATGTCCTGGATGTTTTACTATCATGGGGCGGGAAAAAAAACACTAGTTTCTAAGAGGTCAATATTATATACATAGAATTGTTCCTATTGAACATGGTGGGGCAAGCAATCGAACATATTAACGTTTTTTTTGGTGGGGGTTCTCCGTTCACCCAATTTATTCACCATGGCCGACCAAAACACGTCCAAAGTGGGCATATGATCAAAACGCCGCAGAGCTGCAGAAGAATGCTGTTCACAAAGCAAAGGTCAATAAAGTACAAGATCCATTCCTTTCGCGCATAGTAATACCTCAGGTGATTTGCGGAAGAGACTTTGGGAAATGTGTCTGTGCTTAAATAGTTGCGTAGGACGTTGGTCGTCAGTAAATGTCAGTAAGTATATTAGCCCCTAACTTTAGCAAAACTCATATAGACTTTGACATCCAACATTATCAGTCACTGTCAGTAGGTATCAGGATGCTAATAGTGACAATGTGATGGAGAATTCCCTCCAGAGACGAAAACGCCTTTCAGACAGCAGCCACACTTGCGATGGTTATGTCCTATGATGTCCTATGGAAGGTAACTTCTTCACAACAACTTGGTATGTTTCACCATGGGAATCATATCCTGAGAAAATATGGCGAGGTAGATGCGGAGGTTAAACCGTCGATCTTTGGTACCTTTGACCAATCCTGGGCCAGGCTGTTCAACTTCACAGCCTCAATTATACATGCTTTCAGCTAACATCTTTTAACCGTCTCAATTGGATCATTGAATCAGATTGAATCATATTCATGGGTTTTCCCACAAGCACGGCTGAAAAAAGATCACCCAAGCTGCACTCGGTACATCAGCAGAGCGACTCCAACCTGCTGTGGGTCGAGACATGTGTTTCTTACCGGATGTGGGTGTTTCTCCACCAGCGGGACATGGGAGCAAGCAGGGAAGTCCACTGAAGGTATCAGCTGGACGATGGAGGTGATGTGTCACGACCCGTCATGGATGAGCTTTCTATGTTTTCTCATTCTAGAGGCATGTCATCAATATTTGCTTGACTAAAACAGATTCATTCCAAAAAGGTGATGGATTCAATTTTACCCATATGTTTTCTTGCTTCATGAGAATTTCACAAAAACTCGTTCACTAGAATTAGAATATGTTGTCACAAAATGTGAGTTTCTACAAGTAAGTTTTTTCCAGTTCAAAAAATAAAAATCAGTGCTTTAACCAATGTTAAATCATTAAAAAATGATAAAACAATGACATTTCATGAACACTGATTTATGTCCCATTTCATGAAACAAAACACATTTTTTGGAAACATACCACAGTTAATACCCTGGGATTTTACTAACAGTTCGACGTGGAACATTAACCATTTGCAACATCAGCCCAGCCAGGCGGCCAAGGTGTATTGCAAGCGTAGCATCTTGTAGGAAGGCTGCCATACCAGGCACACCAGCATGGTCGAGGCTAAGGTGCCGGCGTACCTCGGCAGATGTTTGGTTGTTGGTTTGCGAAAAAAAGAAGGTGAGCTAATGTTGAAGTTAATCTTATGAGGTAACTCTAGCTATTTCCAGGGTTTATAGTTGGTACACGTTGTTTGAGTGGTTTTATCAATGTTAACTAGTGGGTTAATGGATAAAATAGCCTTTTGTTACCTACTATTAGTGTTCATAAACCAACCGATGGTGGCTTAACTATCTTAACTATGATTTCTGGTATCTATATATATATATATAGGTAGTGTTTCTTTTTTGCCAGCTGCCAGCCAACAGATATAAACTGGGTGGGCACCACAGAGTGCTTTCTTTCCTAGAGTTGCAATTTCTTAAATACCATCGGTTGCATCGGGATATCACCAAAGGTAAACACGAATGGGAGGCGATAAAAATGATATCATGTAGTATTCACTGCAGGTGAATACTATATGAATCCAACTTAAATGCCGCGAATCCAATATGATTAACATTTTCCAAGCGCCACAGTTGAGGTTCCAAATTGGTTGATGTGTCATCTAAGGGAATTGGTGCCGAGGGGCAGTGGAAACGCCAAGCTGGGCCGCAGCCTAAGTCGTCGACTGCCAACAACAGAGTTTGTCGTGATGTACTGAACTTGGATCCAGTCCTTCCCTGTAATATAAATATATATATATGTATATATATATGTATTGTCAATATTTGAGGTTACATACATGTATATATATACATATACATATATACATTACAAATCGATAAACATATTAAAAACAAATGCCAATAAAAAACCACCAAAAAATGTCTTCAAAAAATACAGAACCTGGAAACGATGGAGGATACATATTGTTATATAACAGCTGGAAACACGTTTCTATCTATTGAGTTCATAATCACCATTAAACCAGATGTGCCACTGTCAAGCTACATGGGAATGATGGGTAGTGGTCATCCGATATCATCCGATCATGGAAATCCCTACAATGGGGCCATAGATCACTTCGAAACCATCCCCCAATTTGTGCATGTTTTTACCCAAGTTTTGACCATTAAAATGATGTGAATCTCGGATAATCTCGGAAGATCTGGGGATCATTGTTGGAATATCCACTAAAACGTGGGAATTGTTATTGGAATATCCATTACAAGATGCGAATTTGGAATGGACACCCAAACAAAAATGGTCAACCAGGATTCTCATAATGGAGTATGGTAATATAACTATACCGGGTTTTCAAAAACCTGGAGGTGCACCCCCGTTGAACCGTTGGAACCGTAGTCATCTAAGTGAGTCTGGTTGGTGGTTTTAACCATCTTGAAACATATTAGTCAATGGGAAGGATGACATCCCATATATCAATGGGAAAATACAACATGTTTGAAAGCACCAACCAGGAGTCCACTTATGATGATACAATATGACAAGAACCCGGATGTACCAAAAAAATACCCCGCTGCGTTACCCCTGAATCCTGATATAGGTGGATTTTTGATGATACAGTCAAGCTCTGCAAACTGCTGACCGCCCACCTTGGAAATCTTTGAACAATGGTAAGTAGTGGTAAGTAAATACTTACTGTTGGATATCATAATCCTCAAGCGATGACTTGTCCCGACATTGGCAGCAACAAATTGTAGATCTCAAGAAGTAGGGGGCGGTAGCGTTGAGATATGCACAGGCGTGTCCTCTCCTGAAACAAGAGAGATCAATAGCCAAAAAACTCCAAAGATGTATTTGACAAATCAGCTATATCAATATCATTCCATGATTGTATGTGTATATATATATACAGCACTTATATTGTATTACATTAAATTATATATATATATGTGTGTATTGTAAATACTTGTTGATCAATGGGACGTGTGAGTCCAGCAGCACCCTTCAAGACGACGGTAGGTCTTCACGTCGAATGTTTCTTTATAGACACCTTCAAGCACGTGTCAAGTTTCACTGTGGAGCACGCCTTTGGAATGTCTGGTTCCCACGGTCTCATTCTGCGGGGAATCAGGCAGATCCAGCTCTGGCGCAGCTTTCATCCAGTCCAGGGCGTCCATCTGAGAGGCTTCAAAAGCCACAGCATGGTGGCTCTTTGTATCTTTGTAGGCCACTTCCTTGTCCAAGGCAAACTCCCATTCTGCCATGTCCATGCAAGGTCTCTCCTGCATTGGATTCTTCCTCTGACCTGAGAATGGAACTCCCAGAATGCAACTGTAAAGTTGTGTGGCACATTAGTGACAATAGCTGTGCCTAGTGACTTCACAATATGCAGCATGGCAGCAACACTTTTTGAGTTTGGTTCCTGGGCCACTGCACCTTTGATCCAAACTCAATGCATTCATATCTATAATATGGAGCTGGCGTGTTTTGTTACATACTAACAATCATCACGATCTCACAACAATGAGTTATCATTATCATGAATTATCCCTACGGTAACATGATCATATTAATATGAATAAGAAACAATGAACCACACATTAGACAAGTATAGACAAGTACCAAATACGTGCCAAACTCCCATTGTTTCCATGCAAGCCTGGCTCCTGGAAAATGTCAACAGTTACGAATCCCACTTGCTACCAGGTGGTGCAGCCCCAAGTAGTTGGTTTATCAGCCCCATTCACTCTAGATATGGAGGTTGCCTAAAATAGTGGTACCCCCAACCATCCATTTTAAAAAGATTTTCCATCATCCAGCTATTGGGATATCCCCATTTATGGAAACCCCCATATACATATGTTATTCCATAACAGTTAACCTACCTGTAAACCATCTTAGCTATCGTTTTTGGGGGCGCCACAGGATGGTGTACCCAAGCGATAGCTAAGTTGGTGCCAATAACTCCAAGAACTAAGGTTTATAGAGATATATCTATAATTATCTATACATATCTAAATTTAAGGGGATTTATGAAACGACAAACATCTGTGAGCAGTGTCAAAAAAACCTCTGTCGTGTCATTATCCTAAATTGGGTTAGTATAATCCCCGAACTAACCAAACCAACCAACCATCATTTATCAGAAATTATCCGCTTATATCCCTATAATTCCCCATCATTCCCTATATATTTGATGATATTATGGGTTTTTAACACGGCTCACGTGAGGGAACAGGCCCACGTCTCGCACCGAGCCGTGGGATGGTCATGCCACGACACCAGCGTTGATCGGGCGTCAGGGCATAGATTGAGTGCTGCCGCTGCATTTTCCTGGCAGCGATTTCACATACAGTTATGGTCATTTATTAGTTATAACATGTTATAACAACTGGTTATAAATGGGATTATATATTCTATAAATGGGGTTATAAGTACATATAACTGGTAAAAGGCCATAACTGTAGGGAAATCATAGGAAAAAAGTAGAGATATACTGGGAACTGATTGGATTTAACATGTTTTAACCCAGCAAAAAACTGGAATCAATTAAAAACAGGGGGAAATCAGCTGCATAACGAGGCCATAGGGGAAGTGTTTGTGCGGAAATGACTCTCTAGTCGGATGGGTGAACAGAAGAACTTGGAACCAAATGCCACAGATTGCCATATTATATGTGTGAATTACATTCTGCAACAAACATGTTTCTGGCAAAGTTGGTAGAACTCAAATGGAAGCCTGACATTACCATTTACAACATTTACTGTACAATGTGTTTCTCCAGTTCAATTGTATGTCATGCAATATCAACCCAAAGAAGGCAATGTGATCGACAAACAAATTAATCAACAACAGAATGACTGGTGCAAGCCCAGTTTACGTTCCATGCTTCAAACCCGACGAAATTGTATACTCTTTTGAAGTCAGGTAAATTCATCTATTTGTTGAACATGGTTGCACCCCCAAGCTAATTTGGTGGTTTTAGTAAAACTACGGTTGAATCCCCATAATATCACAAGTCTAAAATAGTTTCAATCCTATTTCAGATGTTTCAATCCCAGCGTTTGTATATCAAATCCTGATTTTGATGGCTCAATCTCTGCCTTTCGCTCTACTTTCATTTCCTTATACATTGTCCACGGCACAGCAACCAGACGGCTTATCTGCCAGGCTAGGCAGATTCGAGAGTCGCTGCAATGGAGGAAGCGACTTGAAATGAACATGTCCACTCCTTGCACACTACAGATATGATAATTTATTAGTTATAACTGATTATGAATGGTTCTCAGTAGTTATAACTGGTAAAGGGCCATAACTGTGGCGCGGATCTGCTTCGTATGTTCGTGCCACTGCTGCGTCTGGTCTCTCCGAGGTCCGCAGGCTTAATCGACCCCTGGCTTGTTCATTGGGTAGCCCCTGGCTGAACATCAAGGTTCGCAAAACCCAGGCTGATCAGTGTGGTTCATTTTGCCAAATAGTTGGGTCCGTTACATTCTAGCTATATATACACTATATATATACAAGAATTCGTCATAGTTAGCAAATGTTGGCAACATGTTGTTTTTTCCCGCTAGTTAATAATTCCATCTGCATATAATCTCATTCGATCATATTCTGATTATATCCCACTAAAACCGTCTATGTACACTTATATCCCTATGATATTCCCAGTATATATTCCCATTATGTTGCCATTCTTTTACCACGATATCCCGTAGGATTTTAGCTGGTAATTAAGATCGGCAGATGGTCCCCCAGATATAAATAACTTTACAAACCTCATTGACTATAGGCATCTCCGCTAACACTTCCAACTCACAAATTTATAAACCAACTTACCTAACATCAATGAACTATATATAAATATGTTAGGTAAGTTTCTTGGTAAGTTGGTTTATCCCAACTATAAATATCTATGAATATGGTGAACATAAACTTACCTAATATCTATAAATCCCCAAAAATCACCGTATGTTTCTTGGTTAAATCCCCATAACAGCATTGCTCGGTGAAACCCCAGCGAGCGACGGAGCAGCTTTGGCAGCGACGGAGTTTCCGCTGCTCTGAGGCTCCTGAAGGATTTTTTGTGCCATGGATTCCATGGGGCCCCAGTTCGTTGGCGAAGTTGGTGAACATGAGTCCAATACCCTCTGGTAAACGTTTACGTATAGCGAACTGAAAAATCACCATCTTTAATGGGTAAATCAACTATAAATGACCATTTTCAATAGCTATGTTAAATTACCAGAGGGTAACGTTTGGGTTGATTAGGGCGATATAGCTATAGTTGAAGGAGATTCTGCATCAACTTCTAACTGGGGGGGCACCATCCTGTGAGAGTTTTTCGCGAATCTTTTGGGGATTCAAATACCTATTTTGTTCAGAGCTTGATCAAGGGAGGGATCCCCGATTCATGAATGGATCCAGTACGAAACCAGGATTTCAAGTGGGATTGGCGATATCAGGATTGGCAAAGTTGTGTTGAGCCGCATGCTGGAGGCATCATGCTTTGGTTTAGATCTTTTTTTTAGAACTTATCCACCTTTACAGCAACATGTTTGATTGAAATTATTCTGGTTGGTGGTTGAGCCCTACCCCTCTGAAAAATGATGGAGTGAAAGTCAGTTGGGATGATGAAATTCCCAATATCTGGAAAGTCATAAAATTCCATGGTTCCAAACCACCAAGCAGTATTGGTGTAAAGGTTTGCCCATCCAACCACTTTGCCCAGAATCCTTGGTTAAAAAAACAAATCTCCCCATGCAATGTCCAGAATGCTGATGCTGAAATCCCCAAGATTATTGATAGTAACCATCCACCCAAAAAATAAAGACTATAAATCATCATCATTAAAAACCACCACTTACCCCAATTAAACGCACATCAGAATTTAATTAGAACCCATTTCACTGAGTTAAACCCATTGAAACCTATTAAACCCCATCAAGCACCCAACATATTCTGGATGAACCCTCCACGATTTTTCCTTTCCCAAGCGGCACTGCCCCTTACCCCCTCCTTCGCAGCCCGCCGCGCCACTGGGGCAGGAGATGCATCGCGGTCGCGTCGTTTGACACTTTCCGCGCTGTCGCTTGCCATGGATGCAATGGGACGAAGAGAATGACGGGAATTGTTGAATGAGGCAATTTATTTATTTATTTTTTTCAATCAAAATGGGAAGTCATTGGATATACTCAGCAAAATATGTGCTGGCTTAATGGGATAAAATCCATGATCCATGATTTGATGGGAATCTAACCAACAAATTCTGGTGATTTTTGCGGGACATAGCTAGCCAACCTTGATATGATGTGTGGGATATGTGGGTCTGTAAATGGGGTATACCTCCAATTTAAGACAATTTCAATGAGAACACAGTGATCAACTCGAATTTTGGGCACACTATTTTCAAACAAACCCATTTCCAGCTGAGTTATGACCCAAATGCTCAGAGAATATGTATTATATATATATATGATTTCTAGCCAAATGTTTGTGATAACCAAATATGCTCCATATATTGTATGCAGCGTATAAAGTGTATTGAGATAAATTTGCACATGTACCCACAAATGACCCAATGTATGTCCAAGCTTGAAAGGCAATAGCCATGTCAAAGCAGGCGGAAGGAGTGTCAGAGTCGGCTCTTCAAGAATTAAGGTATAACCCAATGGACAGATGTTTGATAGTAATAGAAAGTTTGCAGGGGAAGACCATGTTGCTGTTTTCGCATCATTTTTTCCTAAAACAATAAATTATGGGAATATGATGGAATATGGCCCAGACTATATAATTAACTAACCAGTATCTATGAAATTAAACTACCAGTTAGTTATGGGGATCATCCACTGATTGAACGGGGATTAGACCAGCAACATCACCCATGTGTTCATGTTCGGATGCACATATCGAAATCATCGAACATTTCATATCGAAATTAGAGGTGTAACAATCTTTGGGCCCCCCAAGTACCCCTTCACATCACTTCCCATCAGTGCAAAGTGGGGCCCCCAAACGATAGCTAAGTTGGTGAACATAACTCCAATAACTGTGGTTTATGGTACCTATAACTATAGTTAATGGGGTTTATAAACCAACTAACATCACTGGGGGGCTCCACCTTGTGTTTTCATCCACTGTTCATGCAGAGTCAGGGTGAGACGTCCTCGGTCGTGGGTCGCTGAAAAAAAAACGACCCTCTTGGAGCAGTGGCGTCGTCTGGCGGGTCCATGGCGAAGAAAATCACTGGATTGGTTTAAGGGAAAATTTACAGGAAACCATGGTTTTTTACCATCAAATTTGATGGGCTTTCCTGTAAATTTTCCCATAATCCAATTCTATGAAAAAAACATCGGTAATCTAAACAATCTAGGCTGAATTGCCTTTTTGGGGTGGTTGGTTCAGGGTGGTTGGCTTATAAAAATACTATGAATCAGCCAAAAATTGGGTATGAACACAACAATTAAATACAATTAACATATTCTTTGTTGTGCCCCATTACCTCCTCTAAAAAACAACAATATGAACAAAACATAGTAACACATCATTTTGATCATTACCATCAGCAGTAGCAAATAAGCACCTGAATCATTGTCACTTATACCAACACACGCTGCTGGACCCACGATAGTCGGCTGTACAACTAAGCATCGCCTGTCGTTTTGACAGACCGTCTGGTAGGGCATATGCTAAACTCTTCAGACTTTCACATGTGTTGCAAATATGGCAGCCAATGAATGAAGCTGCTTGCAAAGACTTCCCATAAACAAGAACCATAAAACACAACTAGAAGGTGCCGCGGATAAAAAGTACCGGTCAAGAGTACGTTTGCCAAACTCTGGATGATAACCGGAAAAATAATCCAGTTATGTCCAGTGAACTTGAACTATAATAATTCACAAATCTCAAAAACTCAGGTCATTTTCGGATGCTTCACCCAATCCTAACCGCTATCTGTAGTGACGGCCACTCGTTCCATGGCCTAAACTCATGGTGAAGTCGTCCAAGTCCAAGCGCGCGGCGCGGTTGAATGTGTTGTAGCTGGGGTATCTACAAATCCCCATGTGTTGAAGGCTTGTGAAAACACTCAAAGGTGGCCAAGCTATGGCTGGCTTTAAGACACAGCTTGTGGGAGCCAGCCCAAAAGTGCTGTGTATCCCAGTCTTTCCACTGGATGCTGATCATATATGACCAAATCCCCCCTTCCATGACTGCCATTTTTGGATGGAACAAAACAAACATCACGTGCAGGCAACCCATGAGCCATAAAACTCTTGCAAATTTGGGGAACTGCATGGAACTGCACATCTGGCTACCAACAAAATCACCTCTGGAGGCCACTATTGACAGAACAAAAAACCGATGCTTAGGACCCAATGAAACTTCGAGTTGAAATCTTCAAGTTTCTTGGACAACTAACTGACTCGCCCTGTTTCTTGGGTGTTTCGAACCCGTTTTGGACCGTTGTTGGCCCTTGATTTTCCCAACACATCCACCGCGGCGTGAAACTCGATACGAAGAAGTCCTGGAGCACGGAGAAAGCCACTTGGATCTACAAGGATGGGTCTCGAACTCTGCAACCTCAAAAAACAGATCTGATTGGTGGTTTCAACCCCTCTGAAAAAGAATAGTCAGTTGGGATCATTATTCCCAATATATGGAAAAAATGTTCCAAACCAGCAACCAGAGATACAATGTGGGTAAAAACAATGCCATAAATGGGCCATCAACAAATCACCATTTTTATAGGGATTTCAACCATTCCCAATCATGGGTGGTTTATGACATTGCTTTACCCACATTAATTATAGCTAATTTAGCAGAATTCAACTAAAAACAATGGTAAACTAAACCTGTTCTATCTTCCTAGGAGTGCCATGGAGTGCCTATAATTGTATCGAAACAGCGACTGTTCTTGCAACCTTTGGGACGTTCAAAGCAAGGTACTGTATTTTTGGGTGACATGACCTGCAGGCACAGGTCAGTACAAGCTTATAGGCAGCCCAGCCAAAACATATTTACAGCTGCGCAAGTGACAACATGACCTACCTGCGCTAATGGACTTGATTCTAGCTTGAAATTGGGATCATAATCAATCATAGTCCCTGTTTATCAAAAGACGTGCTTGGGATAATATGATGACATGCATTCCCTACCATAGAAGCCGGAATATCTTTCAATGTCACACCCCCGACCTCGACCAGTTCCAAGTTGGTATGCAAACCTATCCAACTATATATATAGATACCAGGTGCACCACAAACCCTGGCCTAGTCATAGACCAACTTACCTGTGGTGGGAGCCCCAAACTGTAGTAGATATAAGTGATTTACAACCCATTCTATAACTAGGGATGTTCTAGATTCTAAATTTAAGCGGCCAAAATCCCATGATATGGTTTATTATTATTATCCCTATTTGAAAGGGCTATTTGGTTGGTTCGACAATATGTTCCAAGCACGTTCTCCAAGATTTCCGCCAGATTTCGGCGAGCTCTCCCGTCCTCACTTTTTTTTGCCCTTCTTTTTCCTTCAGTCTTGCAGGGCCAACAGATTTCATGGGATATGAAAAGAGGGTATCACTGTCTATGAGTATTAAAAGTCTGTTCATGGGATTTACTGTATATTTGAACAAAAACAAGAACGGTAGTAATATCCTACTTATATAATGGGATGATGAGGATGATGATGATGATAATGAGATTAATCGGGTTTACTGGGATATGACTGGGATGATAATGGGATATGACTGGGATGATGGGATATGAATGGGATGTCATTAGTCTTGCAAGGCCAAACACATGTGCAATAAAAAACATGTGCCATGGCCAAGTTATATGGGATTAAAGGGGCCCCTAGTCATCCCAGCAGTCTGAATGGGATTCCGCACTATCACGCCCTTTTGATGGGAATTTAAACCAATGTTTTGAACACGGTACAAATGGACCGAACAAAGCTCTGAGAGAAACAACAAAACTGCGCATTTGACAAACAATAATCAAAAAAATCCTTTGGCAATCAAACGTGGCAATGGAATACCCTCCATTTATGATTAATGAATGTGTTCCCATTGAAACCTCCATTTATAGAGGATTTTCCATTGCCATGTTTGATGACACCGGAGGGTGCCACCAAAAAAAAACGACCTTCACTTCACCAGATATTTTCCATGGAGGAGTTCATTCACCTTCGCTTTTCTGGAAAAGTGTAAGCCTACTGGAAGACCGAAGAACGCATGCAATGCAAGCCTCATTGAAGCCCGTTTGAAATCACGTGGAACTAAAATGAACCAAATACATCAGTGGATTCAGGCATTTGTATATTGCGAAGCAATTTCGAGCATCCACCCGATACAAAGATGAGGTTGGCCATGTGCCGTGGTCCCGTACAAAGATCTACCCTTCACCACCAGGTTTAGCCATTTCAACCATGGGAAATCACACCATGGTCAATCGTAGATAGCCTGGACAAAAACACATCAGGTTTGAAATTAATATATATATATATATATATATATACAAATCATGTATATATACATACATAGATACATCCGTTGTAAATACAAATGTATATATATATATAGAAATTATACAATATATATATATATACATTATATATATATATTAAAAAAATATCTATAATAAATATATATATATATTAAATAACATATATATATATATATATATTTATTTACAAATTATCAAAAAATAATACACATTATATATAATACAAGTTATATATAAATAATACAAAGTATGTTTAAACATACATATTAAATATATATATATATACATACATACATGGTATACATATATGTTTATGTATACATATGAAATACACATTATACAACATACATACATTATATATAATACATTAATATGTCTATATATATATAAACAAATTTTATATCACTTTTAATTATATATAATACGTTATATTGTGTATACATATATATATATATATATATCACATGTATTGCCCGAATCTCACATGAACAAATCGTCGATCTATTTGCCCAACTCGTGTCACTCTTCTCAGGTGGGATCAGCCATCCATTTGATTTCCCCAGCTATGGCTCCTGATTCCATCCCCAACATATCTATATTTTTTTGGGGGTACATATCATATAGGATACCCATCATTATTCCATGACCCCGTAAAGACTTCTAAAAGAAAACATGAAATTAAAGTGGAAGGTGCTTCAACCACATGTGTTTAACCATGAAAAAGCACTAATATTGACGTGTGAAGCACCTGAAAAGGCACCAAACAACCGATGTCAAGCTGCTTTCCACCGGATCCGAGATAATCCTTGATGGCCTCAATGCGCGCAAGATGTGGGAGAGGGGGTGAAGAACGTATAACATGTAATTAATACATACATATATATATAAATTACCTGGTTGTACTATGATATGCTCATATGTGTTCATATATGTTTTAAAGATAGATGGATAGATAGATAGGTAGATAGATAGATAGGTAGATAGATAGATAGGTAGATAGATAGATAGACAGAGAGATAGATGGATAGATAGGTAGATAGATAGATAGATACATAGTTAGATAGACAGATGGATAGATAGATAGATAGATAGTTAGATAGGTAGATAGATAGATAGATAGACAGATAGATGGATGGATGGATAGATAGATACACCCATATATACATATATATTTATATCGGTGAATATCTTGATGGAACTGGGTGAACTAACCTCAGTTGGTTGATTTTTCTATGTCTTTGTCGATGAGCAAGTGACCTTAAGGCCTCAAAATTCCAACCCTTTCGGAAAACCTACGAGCTGTGGCCCTGGACCTTCCAAGGTGAAGCTCCAACATGACTTGGGGCACTGTACTCCTTTAGGATACCATTTATTGATAGCAGGCGCTGGGACAAAACCTGGATGACCAAGAAAAATGACTGAGTTGGCTGGTTGCAGTGCAAATTTGGATTTTGAGGCTGGGATGGAAAAGGAAAAAGAATTAAAACCACCAGCCAGAGAGCCATGATTAATGTTGACCCTTGCCACACCGCTGTCGCACCAGTTTCAGAACGTGAGTCTCACTATGTCTCAAGCTGAAGCTGAAGCTCGGGGGCAATACATATTCATAAACAGCTCCCATCAACAGCCTTAGTCATACTTTCCTCTGTCACCATGCTGCCATACAGCAATCTGTGCTGAACCAGAACCGACAGAGGGAGCAATCCATCTGGGCACCGTAGGTCTTCTGTGAAAGTTCCGCTGCTTGGGTGGAAGGCTAACAGTAACACCTTTCTTTGACTCCAGTCAGCGACATAGATTGTTCCACCTTCAGTTACAAACAAATCCGTTAAAAACGACCGGCCCTCAGTTGGAATTTGGCCCACCACAACAGGTTCCAAGGACTCAGCTGGATTGATGCACATCATGTTTGCATTCAAACCATCCACAAGATCACCTCTTCCCGTGTTACAAACACCCGGAGTGCAGTGAACTGCATGTCTGGCGAAAGGCTCTCAGAGGCAATTACTGTCTCAAGCGTTGAGACCACCTTTGCCACTGTTCTCATACCTTGTATCACCACGTACAGCACTCCGTTGGGCGAGTGTCACAAGGCGGTAACATCAACGTTGTCAACAACTAAGTCCCCTGAACCTTTTTGAAAATGAAGAAGCCTCTGATTCTGCCAATATAAGGCCTATATAAGCCCTATATAAGCCCTATATAATCCCTATATAATCCCTATATAAGCCCTATATAATCCCTATATAATCCCTATATAAGCCCTATATAAGCCCTATATAAGCCCTATATAAGCCCTATATAAGCCCTATATAAGCCCTATATAAGCCCTATATGACCCCTATATAAGCCCTATATAAGCCCTATATAAGCCATATACAAGCCCTATATAAGCCCTTTATAAGCCCTATATAAGCCCTATATAAGCCCTATATAAGCCCTATATGACCCCTATATAAGCCCTATAAAAGCCCTATACTCCATGCCGTCACACTACCCTCCCCATTGAAAAAAAGACAAGATCGATACAGAAAATCGCGCAGCTAGACTCCAACTGGCATGACATTACCGCTCAGCATGTTGGAGGGTCACCACGCTTCCAACAAAGGATGCTGCTCTTGCTACTGAAACGTGCAGCAAACAGTTCCCTGGTGCCAGCACAGAGAGATACATGGCAAGGACAGTACCTGTCGCCTTGAAGCTTCAGTGCTTGCGCCAAAAAATGGTGACCAATGCTGAAAACGATGCCTCTTCGACTGAAAGGCACCTGGACGTCAATGCGCCCTCAACTTCCCGGTGCAGGTCGTCACCACTTGGACCGGAGAGAGTTGCATGGCCAAGGCGAAGCAAATTCTCAGTCGAAAGTCGAAAGTGCTTGAAATTGTACATGTTGCAGCAGCACACCCAGAACGGCACCTCCGTCCTTGGAAACTTTGTTCCAGGTAATTAAATACTGCACTCACCACTGCTTCTTCCCGCGAGACACCCAGATCTTCCCTTTTCAAAATTCGGGCCAGCTGACTTGCAGTAAGCTTCGCAAAATCTGGATGCTGGCTGCAAGTCTCAAACTCTTCAGCAACCTTATCCTCGCACGCATCTCTCAAAGAATGAAGGCAATGGGCTTCTTGTAGAACTTGCAGGGCAACACTACTGTCCAAGCAGGCAAGGATACCTGCCTCAATCTCACCTGCTAACTTTGGCAGGTCGTAAGCCTGTGCCAGTCGCAAGACTTCAAGACCAACAACCTTCACTGATACTTCCTGCGGCCCGTCGTAGCGAACACTGCATCTTTGGCCGCAGCGATTTCCGCTGGCTGCTTTTGTTGCATCCTCTGTGCTTCCAAGAAGGACCCAGCCAGCAGATTTTTGAAAAACACACTGGCGGCAGATAGCACAGCCGTATGGGCGTGATGCTCTGCCCCATCGCTGCTCTTCAGAACAACATCGCAGCGATGGTGGTCCATCCACAAGTGTCGCAACTGCTGCATGATTCTGGCCCGATGCTGGGCCCGATCCGAGTGGTCAAGCTTCACAGCTCCCATGGCAATCAGCAGGCAACTGCAGAACGGCCGACTGCGAATCGTCTAAAGTGACCAGTCTGTGTCTTGTTATCTTCTGAGAATTCATGACATATTGATGCCACTATCAATAGCAAGAATCCCATTCCATCATAGCAATCCCACTATTGATGCCACTTGTCTTGGCATAGTGGCAGCTTGCCCTACTAGCCGGCCGGCGGGGTGAGAGTCCTGAAAGATGCCCAGGCGGGCACCCCAAGAATGCAATGGCTCTCAGAACTTGATCCATTTATTTAAAAAATAAATAAATGGTTGGTGGTATACTAAACGGGTAATCCCCTAATATTGATGGATTATGATAATTATATCCTAATGATTATTGTGATTATCTGGCTGGTGGCATACTGACCCCTCTGAAAAATAGTAGTCAGTTGGCATTCTGAAATTCCTAACTAAATGGAAAATAAAATTCATGTTCCAAACCACCAAGCAGTTATATATATATATACTTGTAAAATGTGTATCATATAATGTCTATAACTTCTGGGAACAATCCTCATTTCTGGGAACAATCATAAGTTCCCATTTAATTTCTTAGTTCCGTGTGCTTTCCGGAACTATCGGTTTCATTGGTATTCCCCGAAACGTAGTTTTAAGATGCATTCAGTCTGACGACCTAAAAGAACCGCGTAAATGGAAAATAAAATTCATGTTCCAAACCACCAAGCAGTTATATATATATACATACTTGTAAAATGTATATCATATAATGTCTATAACTTCTGGGAACAATCCTCATTTCTGGGAACAATCATAAGTTCCCATTTAATTTCTTAGTTTCGTGTGCTTTCCGGAACTATCGGTTTCATTGGTATTCCCCGAAACGTAGTTTTAAGATGCATTCAGTCTGACGACCTAAAAGAACCGCGTATTTCACTTATAAAACTAAAATGAATCGCTGGATTCAGAATGAAACAAACATATTCAGATCATCTCAGAGATCTCGACATCTGATATATATCCCCACAATTTCACCACGGTCCCAGAACAAATCAGCCACAACCCACCCGGGTCTCCAGGCGTTGTGGGTCTTTTCCGCCACTCGCTCGGTGATTTTCACCTGAAGTCCCATGCCATGCGAAGTGCAACTGTTCCTTGAAACCTCAACATTCTATGGCGAAAATCATCTCAAAGCAGCTAAAATCGTCGAACAAATCGCCGAAAGTCCTTCATCATTTTCTGTACCTTTCAGAAAATCTCCATGTCCTTTACCCTCTGGTAAACTAACAGTTTGCTATTGAAAATGGCCATAGAAATAGTGGATTTACCCATTGAAAATGGTGATTTTCCATATAAATCACAATTTTCCCATGGTTTTCCCATGCTTTTCCCATGCTTTTCCCATGGTTTACTAACCAACCGACCAACCAACCAACCAACGAACCAACGCACCAACGCCACCACATTGGCTGCACCTTCTCCACGTGCGAGGCGCTCACCAAGCCGTGCACCAACTTCCCAGCGCCCTCGTCGCTGATGTGGTTGCCTCCGAGAAGTCGGCGAACAGAACTCCAATAGAATAGTAGAAGGATATATATATATATATAACTATGGTATATATAACTATGGAATTACAATGGAATATATTATACAATTAACTATGGTATATATATATATCCCAGATGCTCCATGTATGGAATATTAACCTACATGTGGCTGATTTTTGGGGTAAATGGAGGTAAATGATCCATACATGGAGCATATGGGTGTATGTTTTAAAACTATATAACTATGGTTTATGTAACAATGATAATATATATATATATATAAATTTATAACTATATGTAACTATATCTAGTTGGTGGTTTCAACCCCTCTGAAAAATATTAGTCAATGGGAAAGATTGTCCCATATATTATGGAAAATACAAAATGTTTGAAACCACCAACCAGATATAGTATTAACTATGTGATATATATATATATGTTATAACTATAAAACTATGATTTATATAACATTGATTATATATATATATGGTTGGTGCTTTCAACTCCTCTGAAAAATGTGAAAATCAGTTGGGATTATGAAATTCCCAATATATATGAAAAAATCCAAACCACCAACCAGATATATTACTATGTATTATTAAGTATGGTTTATATATATATATATGTGTGTTGTAACTATGGTTTATGATATACTCATAACTTATATCATCGTATAGCCGTACGGCTATACATATATATAGAGTATTCAGGGATATTCAGGGTTTAAAAACCATATCAAATATAACTAGGTGAACTGTAGCTGGTCTATAACTCTGAATGTGGTTAACTATGGTTTTCCCTACTAGATGGATATTTCATGATATTTCATATTTCCTTCTTGTAGGGATGGAAACAACGGAGGTGGTGCCGTCGACACCTCGTGGTTTTACTTGGGTTTATGGTATACTGAACTAGTCCGATGGGTTGCACCAACAAACGTACCCAGTTGGAAACGAACTATACTGATATTCCCTGAATTGTAGCTACAATCACCATTGTCGTAAGCCCTAGTTCATCTACATATTAAATATTATTACATACTTCACATACCGTACACAGTATCTATATAAATATATATATATATATGCCATAAAGCCCCTAGTTAATCTATAGTTCTGTTCCCCAGCGCCAGCATGTCTTACGTTGCTGCGCCAGCGGCCTGAGAGGTCGTAGGTCGCCAAGGTGGTGTTGTTCGCAAACAGCTCCCGCAACACCTGGGAACAACTGGGAAGGTCAGAGTGACGTGGAGATTTTGAGGACATTGAACAATCAATATATATATATACACATACACTATGTATACACATGTTATCATGATATCTATATAGAAATTAAACGTATATCTATGTTATGATAAAAATCGTATGTTTATATGGATATAGTAATTATCTGTCATAACAATGTATATATATATATGATCAAAGACATGATCACAATAATAATGTTACTTTTGGCAGGTTTTGGCTTTATAATTCAGAACAATATAAATCATAAATAAGAGTAGTGATGTTATGCCTTATGCGATGTTATTGAAAAACAGATACCTTTCAATCTAATGGTTAGGAAGTTTCAGGAAGGAATAAGACAGTCGTTTGTAAGCCATTTTGCGGGAACTTAGCAAAGACAATGAATTTTGACAACGGTTCAGGTTCATATGTAATTATAGAAAACGTTGTCAACATTCATTGTCAACAAGCTGTCTACTTCAACAAAGTTGCCAAAAACAACAACATACGCCAAAGATGCCCTCTGGTAAACTAACATATCTATGGAAAATCACCATTTCATAGCTAGGTAAATCAACAATATCTACATGACCATCTTCAATAGCAAACTGTAGCAAATGACCAGAGAATACATCCATTAATATCCCAATATTATCCCATCATTATCCCAGAAAATCATCCCTAGTAAACCATATCAAATGTTGGTTATCATCCCCATATAGGAATATGGTGATAAATTATATAAATTGCCATTCATGATATACCTATGAAAAAAAACATATTAATCATTTACTGATTTATAAACCATCTGTTGGTGGTTTCAACCCTCTGAAAAATATTTGTCAGTTGGGATCATTATTCCCAATATATGGAAAAATTGAAAAAATGTTCCAAACCACCAATCAGTAAACCATCTGTTTGGGGGTACCTCCATGACTAAACCTCCATGACTTTTGGGAAACAAATCGTCGACGCCGGCCGCGCCTTGATTACCTCTGGAGTATCGGTGAATTTGTTGTCGAAGACATTGATTTCACTGGCGGTGAAATCGTTCGCGGAGGAGGTGACGCCATGAAGTCCATAGGAGAAAACCGTTACAGGTGTAACGTGTAGGTGTAAAAAACAGCTCAACATAACTCATACAGCTGCTTTTTGGTATTTTTTGGTGGGATAGATTTGAATAATGAACTGTTTTATAGACAACATATCCAAAATTAGTAGAAGATACTGTAACCCATCCGCAAACCAAGGTTTCTGTCACCTTGGATTGTCGATTCGGTTGTTGCAAATGTCTTTGAAAGCAGTAACGCCAAATGGTGTGAAAAAGCAAACGTTGGTTTCTCCACGGTCAATGAACTCTATCTGAACATCCAAAGTGAACAGAGTATTGGACCTCAGAGGATGATTAGCAGAGTCATGCCACATCTGTTGAGACGCTATCAGGCCGTGTGCTGCCTTGAGAGAAGTCTCCAGAAAGCTGAACCCTATTTCCTGGCCAGTCAAGGAAGCTGGAGTTTTTCCCTTGCACTGTACTATGTCACTGTTCCCATGATCAGGCCAAGAAAGCTCGTCCAGCTGCAGATTAGCATGTTCAACAGTATCGCTGCCAGGACCGGTAGACACCAAGGCCACCGTGCTTGTGACTTGTTCCATGAACTTGTTGTAGTTGTGAAGAGAAGCATGGTCGCTGCATTTCTTGCCTCTTCTTGAACACCACTGACAACGGTCAGCTCAGTCGTCTGATTTGACACGATCAAGCAGAACGGTCGGTCGGTCAGGGATACCTTGAAAAAGCAAACGTTGGAAAGTGGTTTACTTTAACAGCATCTCAAACTATGCATGGATTTGATTTGAGGAAACCTGGAAAGGGAAGCAGGTTAACACACATATGTTTTCTCCTGGAAAATGATACATCACCTTAAGCCTGACTCGAGTCTAGCATGTTGACCATGTTGCATCCCTTTCGGAAAATTCCTGAGCCTCTTTTTTTTACAGCAACATAAAAAGTTGAGGATAGGGGTTGATAATGCAACTGGAAATCATGCTTGACGCTGAAAAATGTGTCCAAATGTTGAGCCAAACCAGGATATGAAAGCTGTCGACAGTGATAATATAACAATGTGTTGGTGGCCCATTTAGAAGGCCCGCTAAATAATCCGCCAAAGCAAATATGCGATGTGTTTTCTATTATTAATTAAATCGTCAAGCACCCGGGGAAAAAAAAACAACACCACTATTGGATCTCCAGCCATTGGAGTTGTGGTACATATCGCCATATACTTGGATTTGTTTAGGGTACCCCCAAAAAAAACATGGATCCCTGGGAAAATCAGCTAAGTCACCTTCAGCAATATACCCCCATATACATTGTGTCTGTCTGAAAATGGGGTATACCGGTATACCTTCTAAATGGTCATGGCATGTCATGAAAAATAGGGCATATGATGATGATGATGATGATGATGATGATGATGATGATGATTAACCAATGGATTTAGAGGTAGCATGTGTTCAGACAAACCTAATATATTCCCTCTGGTAATTTGTTGCATAGCTATTGAAAGTGGCTCATTCACAGTTGAATATTTACCGATTCCAAATGGTAATTTTCCATAGCGAACTGTTATATAGTCTAGTTTACCAGAGGGTAAACCATCAACAATCCAGTGATGCCACAATTTGTCCAGCTAAAAACATTTTACCTTCGCCCGAACTCGGCAGCGCTGGCCTCAAGGCCGTCTTGCGCTTGCAAGCGTTGAAAACATCGATGACACCTCGGGTCCCAACCAAAGTTTGTACTGAGTAGGGTGTTCAATAATGGGACTATATAATATAGCAATGACATATACTATAATATATATATATATATACATATGTTAATATAACTACACTCCCCAAACATAACATAGAACTGCATGCTATTTCTGAGGTCTCCTAACATGAACCTAATGGGATTTATATAGCAATGACATAAATTATATATATATATATATGTAACTAGGTACTATAATCATCGAAGGAAGTTTAGAAGTCAAACTTCCGACAGTATGGGCAGATGAAAAGCAGAGCTGGGCAGAGGCAGAGAGAAGAGGAGAGTAGAAGAGAGAAGATCAGAGAAGAGAAAGAGTCAGAAGAAAGCAGATGCAGATGCGCGAAAAGGTAGGAAAGTCGCGAAACACTGTGTTTTTCCAATGATTTGAGGCTCCGGAGGGTCGAAAAGTAGGCTCGCTAAAGCGGCGGGTGCGGAGCCAGCTGGCCAGATGAGAGATAAAAAAATTGTACGCTGTTGTGGCGCGAAGCACATTTCGAAGTGAAAATGTACAAAACACCTCAGTGTCGGACCACTTTCGGAGGTTCAGATGTCGCTTCGCCTGGCAGGCGCAAGGGATTGTGCACCTTGTCAAAAGTGAGCAAGACGTACGGGTTTTGTAGC